CCCGATGCTGCTTCTGCCGCCGCCGTTTCTGCCCCCGCCGCCGCCGCTGCTTCTGCCGCCGCCGCCTCTTCCCCCGCCCCCGCTGCTGCTTCTTCCCCCGCCCCCGATGCTGCTTCTGCCGCCGCCGTTTCTGCCCCCGCCGCCGCCGCTGCTTCTGCCGCCGCCGCCTCTTCCCCCGCCCCCGCTGCTGCTTCTTCCCCCGCCCCCGATGCTGCTTCTGCCGCCGCCGTTTCTGCCCCCGCCGCCGCTGCCGCCGCTTCTGCCGCCACCGCCTCTTCCCCCGCCCCCGGTGCAGCTTCTGCCGCCGCCATTTCTGCCCCCGCCACCATCCCCACCGCCGCTTCTGCCCCCGCCGCGGGGGCAGCGGCGGCGGGGGCAGAAGCAGCAGCAGTGGCGGGGCAGAAGCGGCGGGGGTGACGGCGGGGCAGAAGCAGCAGGGGTGGCGGCAGGGCAGAAGCGGCGGCGGCGGGGGCAGCAGCGGCGGCGGGGGCAGCAGGAGGTGGCGTTCTGACGGTGCCCGCCTTTTCTCTTGCTGCTTGGCCTGGTGCTTGCCTCGCCCCGCCTCGCGCCTGCCTCTCTTCCTCCTTCTCGCTGGCTGTGGCACGATGGTTGGGGTGGGCATTGGGCCGCATTACGAGGCGACCTGGGCTGCATGCGGCCCGTGGGCCGCGGGTTGGACAAGCCTGACTTAAACAAAGACTAAGGTTAGTCTTGAGCAGATTTCAAGAAGCTGGCCTTAAACTCAAAAAAGATAAATGTCACATAGCAGTACCAAGTGTTGAATTTCTGGGATATCTAATTGATGAGACAGGTAAACACCCCACTGACAGTAAAATAAAAGCAATTAAGGAAGCTCCTACTCCAACAAACAAAACAGAATTACAAGCTTTCCTGGGACTTTTAAACTTTTAAAGTAGTACTGAGCCACTTCACAGACTTCTTGATAAAAATGCAGAATGGACTTGGGGTCACAGAGAAGCAACTGCATTCGAATCAATAAAAGGACTCCTAACTTCTAACAGTGTTCTGGTACAATATAATGAAACATTACCTCTTTCACTAACATGTGATGCATCTCCTTTTGGGGTAGGGGCCGTTCTCAGCCATAAATTCCCGAATGGCAGATTGCTTTCTACTCAAAAACTTTATCCAAAGCTGAACAGAATTACAGCCAGCTAGATAAGGAAGCACTGGCTGTAGTAGCAGGCATTAAGCGTTTTCACAAATATCTTTATGGGAGACAATTTGAAGTAGTCACAGACCACAGACCACTCCTAGGCATCATAGCAGGAAACAAACCAACACTAAACATATTGTTCCCTAGAATGACAAGATGGACTGTTTTCTTAGCTGCATATAACTACCGCCTTATACATCGACCGGGCAAGACCATAACTTATGCAGATGCACTCAGCCGTTGCCCCCTTCCGGAACCTGTTGAAGACCAGCCACATCCATAAGTTTGTGCTGTTTTGGAATGGGCCCCTCCCTACACCAGAAAGCAAAGTTTCCTGGGATTTGCTCATTTTTACTGTCAGTTTATCCCGGCTTTTGTGAAGATTGCACTGCCTATTACAAATCTCCTAAAAACCAAAGGGGAGGTGAAACCAAAGCCCAGTCAACCACTAGAGTGGTCCATGGAGTGTCAAGCTGCTTTTGAGAAGCTGAAACAACTTTTTGCAGCTGAGGTTGGATTTGCTACATTTAGTTCTTTTTCCTCTCTAAGTATCCTAGGTATATTATTTCTTGCCTTGTCTTTTGCATAACCTTTACCTAATTTATTTATTTATTTTTAATTAAAAATAAACTTTATTAAAGATTAAAAAGAAAGATATGTACAATACATAGAATACAACATTTTGTTACAAATGAAAACAATATACAAATACATAACCAATAACCATAAAAACATATGTTTCTAATCAACTAAGATTGTGTGAACTTTTATTGAAAACAATTTTACTAATATTCATTTCCTATTTTTGGTAAATGCTCTTAATCTAACCACTTCATTTTTCAAATTCTTATCTTTTAATTCCCTGGTTTTTTATCCTTGATCCGCTTGTACCATTTTTCCCAAGCTGTACTATATCTTGAGTCTTCCTTATCCCTATGTTTTTGTGTAAGTAGGTCCATTTCAGCATAGTCAAGAACTTTCTGAATAATCAAATTATTTGTTGGCATTTGGTCACCCTTCCAGTTTTGTGCCAATGCAATTCTTGCTGCCGTAATTATATGGAGAATTAAATATTTCATTTCTTTTGCGTAGTCCCCTTTTAACATTCCCAACAAAAATATTTCAGCCTTAAGTTCTAGTTGGATATTTGTAATTTCTTTTATCAAATTATATTTTTTTCCAGTATTTTTTACTTTTGGAGCAAAGCCACCAAGTGTGGAAGAAGGTACCCCTTGTTTGCTTACATTTCCAGCAAGTTGGACTTAATTTTGGGTACATATTCGTTAACCTTGAGGGTGCCATATACCACTGGAAACACATTTTATATTGATTTTCTTTATAGACAGCCAATTTGGTTATTTTGTAATTTTGTTTCCAAACTTTTTCCCAGTCTTCCAGATTAATATTGTGCCCTACATTCCTTGCCCATGCAATCATTGGGCCTTTAACTATTTA